TGGCATTGTCCCAGGTCGAGAGACCCCAAAAAACGTGACATTTCGGAATATGATCTGGCTGCGATAAATAGTTGGTCTGTTTTATTGTCAGCTAGTAGCTTTTCACGACGATCTCGACGCACTGCTAAAATCCTTGGCAGAGAGAGTATGCCTGTAGCGTGGCACACACACACACGCAAGCACAAAATATATCAATGTACTTATTAATATAACCCCCCAAAAAAAACGATTTTCGTATAGAATGAGTCAAGTGCGACGGGTCAAAGCGAGATATTTTTGAGAATGGCTGTTTTGAAAAGGGCCAGGTGAAAAGGGCGAAACGAGAGCGGACTCAAATGAGGAGGGTTGAAATGCGAAGGACGAAACGGGAAAGGACCAAATGCGCCAGGCCCAAGAGAGAAGATCTTTTTGAGAATGGTTGTTTTGAGAAGGGCCAAGTGAGAAGGGCGAAACGAGAACGGGCTCAAATGATAACCTCCCCCTAATAATAACCAGAATATTCTGCTTAAGCACTCCAGGCAAGTTTTTTTTGTAATATTGCATTTACTGGTACTGTGAATTCCTTTTTTTAACCGAAGTATCGTTGGGTACAACTTTACTAGCCAGGCGAGCTGGTTAATATGGCATTCTACAAACCGAGATGGAGGCTTCGAAGACATATGTTTCAATTGAGACGGATGTGTTCGTCCTTCTTTGTAGCCTCCGCCTCGGGTTGTAGAATGTTTTAGCGTTGTGTGCTGACACAAGATCCGAAATGTGTCCAGTTATTACTGAGAACTGATGCCAGTAAGCTGAATCATTTTTTTTTTTTTTTTTTTTTGTGTACAATCACAATTCTTCTTGATGCAAGGATCAGACTTGGAGGCTCATGGTGTGTGCACGGACTGTCCAAATTAGGGGCGTGTCTCGGCTTGAAAGTATACAATAGGCGAGGTTTAGAATTTGTCCAGATTGGATTACTAACCGATAGAGAAGTTAAAGAAGGAGCCAGGAACTCCTTAGCTTCTGTTATACATCCTCCTCTAAGAAATCCCACCCATTATTTATGTTATCTTTTTTTTTTAGGCGACTTGTGGCAATGAACCCGCAGGAGGGGTCCCGGCAGCCGTCAAGAAAAGTTGCTCTGGTGCATCTGAAGGCGCAGGGAGCCCTCCAAGAGTTCTCGAAGTTCCAAAAGAAGTGGAAAGAAACTTCGGTGCTTGTTTAGATTAATCTTTCTTTTTTATTGTTAATATTACAATTTGTTGTATAGGCCAAGATGGTTTTTTTGGAGATGTAGCATGTTAGCATAATTTTTGGTCACATTTTTTTAGGAGACTGCTCACTTTGATATTTTTTTTATGGCTGAGCTGCCCCCCAAGATATTTGCGGCATGAACTGTGTTTTTTTTTTTTTATTGTGTATCTGCTCTAGTCATTTAAAAGAAAAATAAATGTAAATATTTTTGAAGCAGCAAACTGTTCAGTCTTCTTTGCAATGGGTCCGTTGCTATGGGTTGGAACCAAAAGGACCAAGCGTGAACTTAGTTTGATAACGATTTTTTTACAAATGTTTATCTGCCTTTATCCCCGTCACTACATGTACAATGCTCTCTAAACTTGACGTAGCATGTGAACACTTTCTCATGGCATTCCTGGCTGTTCTATTGAGTATATATGTCACAGATTCATTGTTCTGTTTTCAGGATAGTGCTCGCATTAGATACGACAGTTCAAATATTCCATACATACAAGTTTGGGGAACATTTGCGCATTGCAGGTAATTTTATGTTGCAAAAACGTGCATCAAGTTGCGCCTGCAAACTGCCAGGACATCCCTGTTTTGCATGTCGCATATCAACTTTTTCAAGGAGGAGCTTGGCATGTGACATACAAAGCCCGGATGTACTCATGAATAGCGGCAGTAACATAAAATGGGGCGAGTACTATCACAAACAAGACTGAACTTTTTCCGTACGTACAAGAAATGTAACCTGTGTCGTTTTGGACGCATTGGAACATGTAATGTACTTCGTAAAAATGGTACATGTTCTGGCATGGCTTGCAACAGAACATGTGCTGCTGTGTGCCACGATGGTACCTTTCCTGTAGCATACAGTACTTGTTCCGTGATGATGGTGTATGGAACTTGTTGTGGCTGCCCATATAGCAACAACATGTCCCGTACTAAAGAAGTATGGAACATGTTCTGTAGTCCGGTAATACAGTACATGTTGTGGCAACAAGGTTAGCATGTATGCGTCCCATATTTTGACAGGAGTTTTTCTAACAGTGTAGGCTGTGACACCAGCATTCTGCATTGGCTATACACTGTAATGTTAGAACCAAGTTTTTCGTTTCTTCTGAATCATAACCGAAACACCCAAGTCAAAAGAAAGCTTTCTTAGACCGCTTCTTTAGCTCCGAATCTCGTAGAGGAGGTAGGCGCTCTTACTGGGCATGCGCACCGCCAGCTTTGTCTGCAAAATTCCAGGAATCATTTTCGGGCGCCGTAAGCTAGCAAGATGGTGGGTGTGGTTGCAGCTTTCGGTGCCTTGTCAGGTTACAGGAAAACGGAGTGCACCTACATTCTTTCTCTTAAATACAATAATTTATTTTTACGAGGACTACCATAATACGGGCGTATGAGAAATGAAAAGTAGTGGTTGCAGAACAGTTTTGAAAAATATCAAAATTTTCCCTGTTGCTTTCTGGGTAAGTGTACGAAAAAAGTAACGTGAAAGTAATTTGTAACGTAACGAGTAAAGTAATCCGTTACTTTTCAGCGAGAGTAATTTGTAACGGTAAACCATTAAACTTGAGGCTCGGTAATTTGTAGCTGTAATCCATTACATTTTTCAAGTAACGAGCACAAGTCTGCTACTATCCTTGCGGCAATAAAATCTGGGTGGCAAGGAGGGGAAAGGCGGGGTTAGGGTAGGGGGGTAGGGGACTGCATTTTTGCCCCTAAGGTAACATGACCATTGGGGTGAGATACCACTCGTCCTTCTCATTAGCTGAGCTGATTATATCATGTCTATTGATTAGTGGTCTGAGTGCATCATGGGGTGTTTATACGAATGAGGAACGTCAAGACCAATGGCACATTGCAAACTTCCTTTTTCGGCTGAAACATTTTAATTTCATTTGCGTTATTCCTACACTTTATCTATATCGCTCATTGACACTCCAAGCATTGCCCGCGAACTTAAACATAAATGTCTTTTTTTTTTTAGTTTGTATTCTTAATTCCCTGGAAGGAGGTGCGAGTGCACTTGAACTCGCATTTATTCGACCCCAAAATAAATAAAAACTAGAAGATAGAAATCCATGTGCGATCAATGAACAATCAGTTGTGCCAGTGTCTTTTATTTTTTTCGAGGACGGAAACACGCGTTTAGGCGTGCATGGACATAAATGTAGCACATGTGTACAACGAACGTGTACAGAAGATGCGCAACAATTACTTGCCTAACTCGGTCGATACGTAGTTGCGAGGCGCGCCCATCTTTCGACCCGTGCCTTGTGTTGTCATGCAAGTGGCTCGCACACGCCGTAACACGTACGCGCTGTCACGAGGACATTGTAGTTACACTCTAAAAAATGCCACGGCGTCTACTTACCTGCAAAGCACTCAAAGAGCACATCTCAGCTATCTACGAACTCAGCTCACCTAATGATGAGGCGGAACATCTGTTCAGACTTCGACAATTAGTCTGCGCTGTGCCATTACGCAATGCAAGCATGACGCTTTGCATTGCGTAATGCCACAGCGCAGACTTTATTTTTAGGTCTAAACAGATGTTCTGCTTCATCATTCGCTGAGCAGATAACCTAGATCGCAGAGATTGCCTCTTTGCTTAAGAAAGCTTAAGAAACGCTAGAGTGGCTTGAGGCATTAACGCTCCTGGTTTTGTGATTGGTTCTAAGGTGTTCCTCTCGGCAAAATACAACGATCTGATTGCCCGTGGAGCAATAATGAAAAGCTCGGGACTCGCCACATTCCGGCTTCCTTGAGCTGCCAGTGACTACAAAAACAACTTCAAAGCTATCCTTCTGGAAGCGTCATAGTGACAGCCTATGCGGAGGGAATGTTCGTCTGCTTTGTGCACTCCAAAAAATATCAGTGCGTCTACTTTCACGCACAACACTGGGCGAGCCAATCACCGCAGCTTATGGAGACAGCTCAGCGAATGACGATGCCGAAACATATGTTTAGACCAAAAAGCGTTGTCTGAGTTGTGACATTAGGCAATGCAAGCGTGGCATTTTGCATTGCTTAATGTCACAACTCAGACTGCGTTTTTTTGGTCTAAACATATGTTTCGAGATCATCATTCGCTGAGCTGCTTCCGTAAGTCGCGGTGATAGGCTCTCCAAGTGTTGTGCGTGAAAGTCGACGCACAGACTTTTTTCAGCGCGCGCACAGGGGTTGCGATGATGTCAGAACGCCAAACACTTTTTGCCTGATTGCAAAAAAAACATAGGGGTAGACCTCGAGGCATCTAGCATTGAGGTCTGCCCACTATCCTTCCTATCAAAGCCAATCAGTGCTCGGCGTCGCTCTGCCGTCACCGCGACTCCTCCGCAAGAAGCAGACGACTTGCTCCCCGTATATGTTTCTCCAGGAGATTTTGTTCTGTCTCTTGGGGATGCTCTATTCGTCAGGTCCAGCCGCCCTGCAGCCTTCCAACAGGTCCCTTGTCCCCCTCGATTCGCAGTCGCCCTGCCCATACATCATACAAAAGACACGGAGTTTTTCTGCAGACACGATGACAGAATTATCCGCGGTCCTGCCTCAAGCTTCTTCGAAACACGTGTTTGCTTCGCGCGTATGTTTGCTACGGAGATCTCCGCGGAGAGCTTTTGTATAGTAAATGGGATCGCCGTAAACGGAAGAAACGCTTCTCAGACAGGGTCTGTCTGCATACTGTCATTTGTGTGATGTGGTAGCGGTCGGACCGCGGTTCTAAAGGTTGACACACCTGTTATTCTCTAATCTGTCTTTGACGGGCCTCGCAGACCAAGAGCTGCAGACGATCCGTCCGTTCGGAGCCGACCGCAAGAGCGAATCCATATCGGAGGAGAACATGGTGCCCATCATCGTGTGCCTCGCCATCATGTTCGTCGGCATGTGCGTCGCGCTGCAGCTTTTCAGCAGGTGCGTAGAAGTCCCACCATTGACACCCCATCTATACGCAAGTTCTGTAAATGGAAACTTGAGGAATGCCCGCACGTTCGCTAAATGCATTTGAAACCTACGTCAGTTGCATCGTTTGAGTCATCACGATCGGTATTAAAAGCTTGAGATATCTTGAAAAAATATTATTATAAACGTTAAAAAAAAATGTTTCCACAAAATTTTTTTTTATATTGAGTTTACATTGCAGTTAAAAATTAATATACCTCGTCTTTTTTCATTAGCTGAGTTGATCGAAAAAAATATTCGTCATTGACGATCTGAGCGTATTTTCTGTAGCGTACTTTTGTACGTATTTTGTTCAGACAAGTCAATTTAAATTACTTCCAAAAGATACAATCTTTAGAAGGAAAACTTGGCCCTCCACGTATGGATACGTAATGTCCTTGCGTTTACTTTCTGCCGATCCGGAGGCGAGCCAATAAATGCAATATATAAAGCGTCGCTAGACTGGTGACGCGGCTACAAAGACGTTTCTCCTGAAAATGAAATTCTGTGATCGCCAAAAATGACGATAATGACATGCCATTTTTTGTGTCACATCACCAACTTCATCTCTTTTGTCCGGCATCATTTTTTTGGTCCTGTCCTGAGCCAAGCTACCTTAATACAGGCTGCTAAAAAAAAAAATAAAGCGGTTTTCTTTTGGACACAAAAATAAATTACGCGTCGTCGAAAGTTCATTTTCCGCCCAAATGCGGAAAATGAACTTTCGAACTAGCTGTTCGAAACAGATGCCAAAGTTTCAAAACTGACCGTTATTTTACTAACCTCAGTTTTTATTTTAACTTTTTACAGGGAAAACGAAGGTCGACGGAGTCCTCAAATACATGGAGTTTAATCACGCCAGTTATTAAGAATGGGCCTAATTTTTCTATTAAACTTCTTACAAAATCAGCTATAAATTTTAGTAAGTTAATGGTTACTTCCGAAACCTTGGCTTCTGGTTTGGACCGCTAGCGCTACATTTGAGCGGAGGCTATGCGTCGTTCAATTCTGCGGAATAAACAAAACTGTAATATTTTTTTTTTTCTGGGGGCGGGAAGGGGGGGGGGGGGCGCGAAGGGGGGGGGGGGGGGGCGGGAAGGAGGGGGGGCGGGAAGGAGGGGGGGGGAGGGCGCGCTGTACATTTTGGGGATTGATTTTCTGCGTGTCTTGAAGGAGACACCACGACCTTTTTTTGACCTTTATGAAATGCCATCTCTAAAGAAAAACGCTCCTACAAAGGAATGACAGAGGAAACCAGACATGAAACGCTCGACGCGCGCTGGTGGCGCTCTCGTGCAGGGCCCGGTTCCGGAACCAGCGGACCATCTTCAACACCCCGAATGCGCGGCTGACCCCCCTCAAACTGGGCAGCGGCAAACGTGGCAAGCGCAGGGCCAGTCACGTCAGTCTGCCGGGAGGCTCCAGGCGTCCCAGTGCGTGCTCTCAGCTTTCGCCTTCGAGAGCAGGTAAGAATCTTGGACCCCTGGTCCGTATAGACCTATTGTTGTTCTCGATGGTGTATGATGCTCAGGGTACGTGTATGCGCCAACGGAGACGAACACGAATAAGGGGACAGAGAGAAGCGCTTGTCCGTGCCCCTTTCTCAGTGTTCGTCCTCGTTTAGCGCATACACGTTTTTCCAGTGTCTATAGACAGACGCGATGCTTACAAAGTATCCCGCGTTTTCCCACAATATGTGGGGGCGTTGCGTGTGCGCGGAAACCAGATTCGAGTGAGACGAAGTCTATGCGCATGCGCCATACTGACACCAGCGCTACCGCAGCGGCATGACGTCGGAGCCGCTTTTTTGGTCTATATATAGACCTTTGCAAAAATCGCCTTCTGCACGCTGCCATCCTTGTCTGCTGGGCCATGGAACGCCTTCTGAGCATGCGCTGTTGTTCCGCTGTTAGGCATATTGGACTCTGCGCATGCGTCCACAGCTCAGTGACTCAGCATTTTTCGCTGGGGTGATAAGCGATGCTAAGGCTTGTACTCCACCTCGCCGTTCGCCCTCCCGAGGACAAACGAAGAACTAGAGGAGCGGAGACGGCAGCGGAGAAGGTAATAGGGTCTATCGGCCTTGGTGCTGCTGCTACTGCATGGTTCTGGCCGGCGTGTTCATGCAACAAGAAGATTTAAGAAAGAAAAAAAAACGAGCCCGTTCAATTAGGAAGGAAAGGACTGAGCGTTTTATTTAGACACGCATATATATGTCCAGGGTTGGACCGCTCTCTCAGCTCCAGGGCTTGAGTATGTATGGAAGAGCTTGCAGTGTTGCTTGAGTTCCGACCGCTAGCTCGGAGAAGTCCGAAAGCTGACGGTCATTACTTGGGTACTGGCTGCAGGTTCTACATCGTAGGTTGCCTTCTGCGCCGCTAATGGAGTGCTTGAGGTGTTCCGTCATTAGAATTCTAGTATGCACCCTGCGCACTCTAGTCGAGTCTTTTCTGTTTAACATATAAGAAGGGCTGTTTAGTAAAGGTTTTCTTTCTCTGGGATCGCTGAGCGTCCTGATTATCTGTTTGTGCAGAAAGGTCCTATGAATGAAGGGGTCATAGAATTGGGGTCATGGATAAAGGTTGTCTAGATTGGGGTTTCCCCGGACAGGCTCGTGGGCGAGTTCGTTCCCCTCATTTCCCTGGTGCCCCTGTTTCACTTTGGGGTTACCATGGTATTGTTATGGTTGGCCATGGTGTCTGATAGCACAGCCACAACGTTGGACTGCAGAATGTTGTCTTTGTAGTTGCGTACAGCTCCCTATCTGTCTGTTCTAACTGTAAGATGTCCCCCTCGGCAGCGTCTTCTTTGATGGCTTCTGCTATGGCTAGGGTTTCTCGACTGGTGGCAGATGGTGCATCTTTATGGCTGTATGTTGTTTTCTTTTTTTTTTCTGGACCCACTAAAGCGGTCGTGTCTCTCTTGTTCTTGGGGTCGTGGGTGGCATCCGTGTTGCAGTGGGTTGTGGGGTTCTTGCTCTACGGGGATTCGTCGTCTGATTTCGCTTCTCTGTTTTTGGTTTGTGTTGGGATTCATGTTCTGGGGAGTGAACTTGGTGTTTACTCGGGGTTCCATGGTGGTGTCAGGTCTGGTATGGTTGGTACGTCTTGGGTTTCGTGCCCTAGTTCTTGTAGGATTCTCCTGACTTGTTTAGACGTCTGGAGTCTTTGATACTGCGCGGTTCCACGCTCAGCAGCCAGAAATCTATGAGACAAATTAAAGATGCAGTAAACACACCTATCGAGGAGCTCATCAAGCACCATAGCCCTGACTAAAATTATGATTTTGTGAAAAGGATCACACAAGATGTTCATATCCACTACAAGCACGAATGGTCCCGAGTCTTCCAGTAGTATCATTTCAGGGTTGTCATTTATTCCAACATTTGTTATAAAAAAAATATGCTCAATGCGATCCCTGTAGCCGTTTGCACAGTGTACCTGTCGGTAGGAACTGCGCGCAGAGAAGAGAACCAGCGTTTAATGGCTTGTGTGACAACCGATGCCAAGGCCCTTGCTGCTACAAGAGAGGTTCTTATTATGGGTGACTTCAACGGACACGTGCATGAACTGGATGGACTGGAGGACGAGAATGGACGAATGACAATGCAGATGGCCGAAGATAACGCTCTGGAGATAGTCAATCTTAGAGCCTCATGTGAAGGGCAATATACGAGGAGTGCCCGTGGAAGCAAAACTTGCATTGACTATGCCTTGGTTTCACAGAACCTGGCCCGCTACCTTGTCCACGCAAACATCGATGAAGCTGGTGACCATAGTGTTGGGAGCGACCACAACCGAATAAGGTTACAGTTCTCAAATGCCAACACGACAACTAAGAAAACAAAAGCCCTCTCGGACAGGCGGTTTCCGGCTATCCCCAACGGCAGCTGAGAAAGTTATGGAGGAGTGCGAGAGCAAGAGGGTGAGTGCGTCTGGATACGCAGAATATGTGGACGAATTAAGGCACCTCATCAAGCAGCATTCTACAAAAGAACGAGGTGGACGACGACCAAGAAAGCGATGGTGGGACGCGGAAGTACAAGCCGCTATCAGATTGCGACAAGAGCTGAACAGGGAGCACCGCACGGTCCTTCTTGGCGGCCAGAGTGGCAAAGTTCCTTTAAAGTGGCATGCGTACCAACTCCAGAAGCAAGCCGCAAAGCAACTTGTCCAGGAGAAAATGGCTCAGGCTGACATGGTCACAATGAGAGAAATTAGTGCAAGCGGAAGAGATGCACCTAGGAAGTTCTGGAGGTACCTAGGAACTCTCAACGGAAGGGAGCAGTGCCTCACTATCCTAGACGAAGACACAAGGCACCCAACAGAGCGACTGGGACAATGTCTCACAGATCATTTGGTAGAGGTGTTTTCACCTCCGGAAGCGGCACCGCTAAAGGATTTAAGCCCGACGGAAGGTACGGCCTTGACGCCGGATGACGCTACCTGTGTAACAATCGGGAGGGTGTCCCTTATACGCGCACTGGCACATATTAAGAACAACACCGCCCAAGGCTTACACAAGATTCCGGCAAGTGTGCTTAAGGCGTTGGGGAGGGAGTCCAGGGATCAGCTGGCGGACATCTTCGAGAACATTCTGTCTGGGACAGATGGGATTCCTCGAGACTGGAGGGGTGGTCGGGTCGTACTGATTCCTAAAAACAGATGTGATCGTCATTATCTTCGACACTACAGACCCCTGACCGTAAAAAGTACGGTGTATAGGACTTTCGCTTACATCATGAACGAGCACAGGACCGCATGGGCGGAGGAAGAGGGTTTACTGACGGAACTCCAAGGAGGCTTCCGAGGGGGGCGCCGATTGGAAGATCACGTGTATACCCTTACACAATGTATTGAGGTGGCCCGAAGGGAGAAAAGGAATCTTATCTGTTGCTTTCTAGACATCGCGAATGCCTACGATAGCGTCGCATATGCCCTGCTCGTTCGTCAACTCCAGGATTTTAACATGCGACCGGAGTGGACAGCGCTCATCTACCGTCTTTACGATGGTAACACGGTTAGAACCCAACTCGGTGAGGGTACGTCTGAGGAGGTGCTGGTGACGAGGGGCTTGCGGCAAGGATGCCTACTATCTCCGCTCTTATATATGCTCTACGTGACCACTCTAGAGAGGCAGCTCATCTGATCAGGGCTGGGCTTTTCTCTAACTCACCTGGAGTATGGCGAGACCGTCAACTGGGTTCTGCCGGGACTAACTTATGCAGACGATGTGGTACTTACTGCGGCATCAGTGTCTGAAATGCAACAACTTTTTGACATATGCACTCATGAGGCTATCGAGCTTGGCTTGAGATTCAACGCGGGCAAGTCAGCGGTGGTTGTGTTTTCAGGCTCCTTCGAGCCAACACTCGGCAGCCTTCGCCTCGGCGCATGCGATATGTGCCAATACTCGGCTCATATAAGTACTTGGGCATCACACTGTCAAATGCGGCAGACTACCTACAAGTCCACCACACTTATCTTCGCCACGCAGCCACACGAGGAGCCAACATTCTCCGTAAGCGAAGCCTTTGGAGCTGCAATCAGTTCATTTTGTCCCGGGAGCTCTGGAAAGCGGTAGTAGTACCTGGACTGACATTTTCAAATGCCGTAGTATGCGTTCCCGGTGATGTCCCAGCCCATATGGAACGCCGACAGAGAGAGATTGGACGCCAGGCATTGGGCTGCCACGGCGGGGTCGCCAACGAGGCAGTTCAGGGAGAGCTGGGCTGGTCCTCCTTTGAGGCTCGGGAGGCAACCAGCAAAATTACCTACTACGGGCGTCTTCGCCATATGGACGGCTGCAGGTGGGCCAGGAGGTTGTTTATGTACACTCACCTGACGGGGCTGCGGACACGCTGGCAGAAGCGCCTTCATCAACTTGAGCACAAGTATGGCCTTTTTTATGACCCCGTTGAAGCGTCATCAGAAAGGGAATGGGCGTCAGAGGTTAAGAAGAAAGTCCGTGACAACGACGCCCAACAATGGCTTTGAGACGCAAAAACAAAGTCGACGCTCTAAGTGTACCTGAACCACAAAACAACCATCGCATCGGAAGCACTGCTGTACGACAACAGCCTGGGCAGCCGCTTGTTGTCATCGGCGCGCGTCGGGGCCCTCCGGACACTAGTTTACAGATACCGGTTTGATGCTACGATGACCTCGAGCGCGTGTCGGGTCTGCGGAGGCTACGATGAAACGGTGGAGCACGTTGTGCTAGATTGTGCGGGACTTCAGCCGTCCCAGTGCCCACGCCTGCAGAGCCCCTTAGTGCTCGCTGAGGCGTTGGGCTTCACAATTACTGAAATCGGGCGCAACCAAGCAGACTACTCTGATGCACAAAGCTCTGCAGCTACGCAGATGAAGGGGCCTTCTAGCGGCCGGCACAGGCTTGTAGTGGCCACTAAACGAAGACTTGAAGATTGGTGGAATAAGATCCACCTCAGAGGGCATTAAGACCTCCTCGCTCGCAGGCTTGGGCACGAACTTAGTTTGCGCTCGCCCGTTTCAAAGGGAACAAACCGCATCCTCATCATCACTTCATCATCATCATCATCATCGATTTTAAAACGTGCAGGTCAATCATAGAGTAAGTATGGTACCTATCCCATCAAACAAAGTGATATACGAATACAGATATCTGGAGAAAGAGATCTTTAATTATCAAAAAACGCGAGCCACATACCAGTCAGAATCTAAAATTTTTGCCTGAACGTTTCATGACAGCATGAGATCTGAGGCACGCGCTAACAATAAAAATTACCAAAACCATTGTACTATGATATGTTATTAACTTCTGCCCTGCGCATTGTATGTAAAAGCTTATAAACTCTAAAAGCTGGTTCAGACATTTCCGTCTGAACATGACGGACAGCGCTACGACCCCTGCTGTTTCACAACACCTCCTTGAACGGACATCGATTGCCATGATAACCACCTTGTCATACACATAACGTTCGCAACACAGCCCTTAACACTCAATTTTCAAACACGAATGTCTAATACAGCCTTCAGTTAAACAAAAAAATTAATCTTATTTCTGGCATTGTTTGACGTTCTAGGAGTGGTAATTTTCCTGTCAGAAGCGTCTGCGTTTCCGAAGAGGCAACGATTCAATCCCGCAGAAACATAGGATCGATCTGCGAATGTAGATCATAGACTTGTCGAGATTGTGCTGGTTCTCCTGAGCGTTTTATGACAAGCGAAGCGCCCAGAGCCGCTCACCGGTCGATATGCCATCATCTGTTACCTCTCCCACGTGAATGTGTACACCAGAAATATCTACTGTTTTGTGTCTTCAAAATAAAGGCAATATTTTTTTGTTTGTTTCAGGCTTAGTTTCGGTAGTCAGCTAACGCGTAACACATACAACATACATTTACTAATATTTTTTTCTTAATTTGCTTCGTTTACCTTAACGCGTTTTGCGCCGTGCTTATGGCTGTGAGCCTGTATCTACCATAAAGACAATCACATTATTTCCATCACGGTGGGTAATCTCCCTAAAACAAGAACAGAACACCAAAATGAGTCTCTACGTCGCTAGGTCGTACAAATATTGATTTTTAAATCCAATAATATTTCCGTTCGGAAAGCGACGGATTTCCCTTCGTTTGAAAATATAAAAAAATAGAAACAGGTTTCTGGTTTGTTTTCAGTTATTAACAGTCGTAATATTTAGAAACTCCCGACTCGCATCGAGCAAAAGCTCTCGAGTTGCATTTTTATATCGCGTTATGCGAGTCGATCCTCATTAAACATTATGCGCCCAAAATCTTTCTTTTTTTTTTCGTCGGCTTTTTAGCGAACGCGGAAAGACGCTTCATTCGCGCGGCTAATGAAGACAAATTCGATCCTATATATCAAGCGCCAGCTTATAAATTGTGCGACCGGGAATATTTTTTCCGTAATGTTTTTTTTATTTGTTTTTCTCGGGTCTACCTTTACGAGACTCACTTTAGTGGAATTCAAGGAATAACAAAGACACAAAAACAAAGCCGCGTCACTTCCAAAGAAAACAAAATCTCTTATTGTTTTGGTAACACCAAACCTGTGGGAGCAGCTGCGATGTGTTGTTTATCGCCTACTCTTCCGTTAATAAACTAAAGAAAACAGCCTCAAGAGTCGCTTTGGTGCACACAGCTGATAGCTAGTAGCTACATCAAAAGTTTTGCAGCTCTGATACGATATTTTTGTTTTGTTTTTTGTTTTTATTCTTAGACTGGAGTACCTAGCTCTTTGCTTGATTCTTCAAGAGGAGTCTTGTGCAATATTGTAGGATTCACCTTTACCTTTCCCGCTCACCATCGATCTTTGTCTTAAGGCTGAAAGACTGGGCGCCCCAAGAGGAACCACCGCGAGTTCGGAGAAGAAAAGAGCGTTCCTCGGATGGGCCAGTTTTCTTTCTTTGGGTTCACTCTCGTTCCTCTGATGTTGATCAAAATGTACCAACATCGATCCCAGAGGTACTCCCTCGAGACCGTTAGTTTCGTCTCTTTCCGTTTTCGCTTTCCAATGTTCCTTCCGATTGTTTTTTTTTCTTTTTTGTGTTGTCAACTCTTCGTTCTCTGAAGGACCGTCTTCTATTTTGTTTTTGCTATTATGTCGCAGTAGTTAGTAATATTTATTTTTTTGCTTCAATTCAAAATTCAATTAAGGTCGTCGTCGCGAAGTGCGCTGTCGTCGAGAGATTTGGAAAATATGAAAATAGTCGCCGTCGTCTGAACGAAGGGCTTTGAATATCCTTACTTTTAAAGGGTTGACATCAACTCCGTTTGAGTTCAATTACAAGCGGCCGTTTTTTTTTTCGCTCCGACTAAAATTTCCGATATTGTGATGTCTCACGTTTTAGAGACATTGTCTGGATATTTTCACTTTTGCCTATATCCCTGATCTCAAGACTCGCAATCACGCTGGCAGAGAAAGAGTATTGCTTCGATCGCCTAGCTTAAGCAGGACTGCGCGGCACTGGTTCGGCGTAATCTCATAGACGCTGTCGCATTTCAAAAGTTGGGACGACGAAAGTACCGTATTTTATATTTTTCTTTACTTAAATTTATAAGTGGTGGTTTAAAAGAGACATAACATATATTCGATTACAAACACCTTCCACCAATGCCACAACGCAACGGTTTGAAGACATCTATGCGACGTGCAAGCTTCATCAGCTCTTTGCGGACCTTGTGCGTCTGTGGATTCTCCAAATGCTCTATCGCGCTTTTGTATCTCCCCAATTTCAGCCAGTCTTGTACCCGTTACTAAAAAAAAAGACAGTGCAGAACACAGACCTATGTGCCGAGGCAAATCCGAATCAAAACAACCCGTAGAGAGGAAAAGAGGCACTTTTGACAGCTGTACAGTCAAAACGTCGGTGATCGCGTTGACCTCCTAAACCTCCTGGTATCTTGGTATATTTTTTTAAAGTTGTTTAGGGGTCAAACAAAAGTGAGCAACGTTGGTGCAACATAGACGAGCGACACATTGGCACACAGAGCAATTTGTTACGTAAAAGAACTCAACTCAATGATGTTAGCCATTTCGGAAACATATAACTGATTACTTGTATAGTTGATTTTAGAAAGATGGTAATTGAATGACAGCGAACGTTACAACATAAAAAAGTAATTGAAGCGTTAAATAGTTATTATCAAATGTAATTGATTACGAGTAATCAGTTACTTGTAACTCATTACGTACAGATCTGGTCTCAGCCAATGACAGTGCGCGTTTGGCTGCCCCGTCATCGCGACTTCTTTCCGCACTCTTATTGTTGCCCGTTTATTGGGGTGCCTATCCTTGCCTTTTGATGCTCCAGAAACCCGTTGTGAAACACTTTTTCTCCGCATAAGGATTTGTTTGCGTTTACCTCACTACAGAGCACGCGAAAAGACCGCCGCTACTCTTTACGGGGGAGGCATACACTCAACAGACATGCAGTGCTGATACAAACCAATATGGTTACACCAAATCGTTAGCATGCGCAGTTAGGTGTAAGTACCACTCGTTCCTCTGCACTTCTCGCTGCGAACAGTGACAACAGTATGAGATATTGGCAAAATAATGTTGTTGTGTTTTGTATTTTCGTTAAAGACTCAAATTGTGTTCTCGTTACATTACCCTGTTTTCACCTCTACCACTGCTGCCGCGTCCCACACACAAGCCTTATTGGCGTATGTGAGAATTGAGTTGTAACGCGTAAAGGAAAAAAAAAGCAACGTAATGAATTGTATTGCATCGTAAAAGAGGACTACGTGTCTACTTTCCGGCCTGTCACGTGGCGGTCCAATTAATGGCATCCAAAAAATGTCGATAGTTGTAGTCAAGCTTAAAAAACGCAAGAAGCATATTTATGCTGCTTTCATCGTAATTTGCTATTCGGCCATCAAATAATGCCGCAATTTCGTTGGTTGTAGAGCGGTAATAAGATTCTTAGGAATCGCGCTCTTTTTTTATTTTTAGTCACTCAGAAGACGATTGCATTTTCGTAAATGTCATCTGCGCAGGGCCATTACGCGAGCGAAATGTCACATCCATTATCCTTAGGCGTCTATATGTCCTTCGCAAGGTATAATCATATCAAATTCAAACAAAGCATTCAGTCCCCGTCTCCGTAGGCGGTATTTGTTCTCTAATTATTCGTTTGCTCGTTTTAAGATAAGGTACAGCGATCTCATGTGGTTCTTTGAGTTCCTAGGATCAGTATATCATCGACGTGGGAAACTATGTGTGGGTGGCGGCATTTTTGTTCCTTTTGTTGCATGCGATTTGCTGCTGGGTACGACTGCTCTTGCAGCTCCTCCTCTGCAGAGTAAATACCGTGGACTCACAACGTTAATAAACCACTATTCCTAAGCCTCCACCCATGGTACCACTTCGTCCAAGTACGGTATGCTAGTCTAAAACTATTCACTAGGTGCGAGCAAAAAAAAAAATAATAAAACGTTCTAAAATTGTGTGTGTGTTTGTGTTTTTTTTTAAATTTCATAACCAGAGTCGGTCATGGAACAGCGCACGCCGTAACACCGAATACGCACCGTGCCCGTATCAACCGGGCCGCGCAGTTGTACAGCCTTATCCAGTGAGGCGAAACATATGGCCATGAAACGTGTGGACAAGAAGGATTAGCAATTGTATGGCAGGGACATTGTTTCTCGCAAACTGACGGGATTGGTTTTCAGAGGCTACATAACTTGTTTATGTTTTTTTTTTCTCTTCGTCGGTTTTCTGAAAGAGTTCTCTCCGGGTAGCGTTTCGTAGCATGGCGCAATTTTCGGGGTTGTCGAGTAGTCGACAGGCGCCGACTTTGGCCGGCGCCCGGGGCGTTCTTGTTTTCCAACAGGAAGTCGAGCCGGAAGCAGGGCCGGAAGTCGGGCGGGCAGCCAATGCGGAAGCCCGGATCTCAGGCGCGCTTCGATGTTGCACCACCACGCCGAGCATCAAGGCAAGGTAAGGATTCGAGTGCTCCCGAGCCCCGACACCCCAAAAATCATCGTTTCTCTCTGCCGTTTCTTTTCCCGGACACACGCTTCTTTTTAATTCTCCCCAGCTGCGCACTTTGATTAGCCACGACGCCGGCGGTTGTGTTTGTTTTGTTTTTATTTCATTCATTTATATTGTTGGCTGTTACAGGGGTGAGATATTGAACAAGTATACCATTTATGCCCACAGATCCAATAGAAATTTTAAAGCACACAAATTTCTTGGCATAGGAACATAGATAAAATTGAATAAAAGCATCGAGCGAAAGATAGACACGAAAAAAGTTTTTTAATGACAAATAATTTTGAGCGAACATTTTTTCAGTTTTGCCTTGAAACTTTCATGGCAATCACATTTAAAATATCTTGCGGGGAGTTGGATTCATTCACCTACGTTGATGATTTGGATTTGGGTTTATCAAAATGGGGTGGGAAATTCACGAACAATGATGTAAAGAGCGGGTTTTGTCTTTTATGTGGTACTGAAACAGTCTTTGTACAGTCGAGGGATACGGTGTCGTGTTCATAGCGACGGTAATTGTCGAATGCATTTACACACGATATAATACTCTGAGACGGAATGAGCATGGCCATCCAAATTGGAATTGGTATGACTCGGTGGTACTGAGTTCCTTCCCGGACTTAGCACAATATTGTACACCCATTAATGTTGAATTACGTAGTTCAGTTAGCCACAATGGCTTCTGCAACGAGTCTGAGCGGATAATGGGATTGAGCTTAGCTTGCTCGCCCTTTCATAGCCCCATCTTATCCTATCCTGTCCTATCCTATTCTTTGCTGTCCTCTTCGATTCTATCCTAACCTATCCCATCCTACTCCATCATATCCTATCCTAGCTGAGCGGATAGACCCATTTAGGTAGACAGCTGCCGAATTCGGGAAACTCATGTATCGCGGAGTCAAAGGCTTCCACGCGTTAGTCCGCTGAGGTTGCCTCACCATCGTTTTACTCTGGCATAAAACCCTAAAAAAAAAAATAAGAGAAAATGACAATATAAAGGTGATGATAAGAAAATAACTGGCGGGAAAAATTGGCCTACATTATTGCATTAACTTACGGCCGCAGCCGTCGCTTCACACGCGAATCCTAAGCTGCGATTCTACGAGCTGAGTTAGCGAGTCACGTACACACGAACATTTCGATTTAGAATTGATGTCAACGACAGAACGGAATTACTGCTCACCGGGCAACAACTGAAACATTTCACGGAGTCATATTCGATTAAGATTATGCTAAAAATAAACAAATAATAAACCCTGTAAGCCTCGACTAAAATTCTGTTACGAGACTTTGCTTCTTAAGGTCTGCATTGGCTGCTGCATTAAGGTTTTCAGGCATTTCTTTTCAAGTTCCTCCAACCAGTTCCGAAAGTCTTCATATTTTGTTGTGATGTAATTCTGGGTACCGAAAGCGAAACGTGAGATTATAGTCGAACCACAATCCCATTTCCGCAGATGTCACTTACAATTAGTGATGGGCCGAATCTACCGAACTTCAGATTCGGCGAAGTTCGGCACAGGCCGAACTTTTGAAGGTACGTTCCGCAAACATTCGGCGAAATTCGGCAAATGCCTGCCCACGCACGAAAACACGACGGAGCCATGAATTGGAAATAGACACCGTGCGGTCGTAACGGTTTGTTCGGTTAACCGTTGCGTTTACCATCGGTACAGTGTAGCACTTCCAGCGGCTATGGCAAGGTGCGGAGTAGGCGACATGATAACTGCTTGTTTCTGATTCCCTTTGTGAGTCTGGTTCTCTTCAATAATTTTTGCCTGAATAACAAAATATCGACAAGGAATTCGCGCTGTGCACTTCATGCACAAGTGATAAATGATGCGGTACATTTTCGAGAACGTGATTTTCCTCTTATCTTTCTAGACTCTAAGAAATTCCTGCGCGTATTCTTGCCCGCAAAAAACACAAAAAGCCAATCTCTGCGATCTACCAAATCAGCCCAGCGAATGATGCGGCGGAACATCCGTTTAGACCTAAAAATGAAGTCTGCGCTTTTGCATTACACAATGCAAAGCGTCATGCTTTCATTGCTTAATGCCACTGCGCAATTTTAATTTTCAGGTCTAAACAAATGTTCCGCCACATAATGCGCTGAGATGATTTTCTAGATTGCAGAAATTGGCTCTTCGAGTGTTTTGCGGGTAAGTAGACGCGCAGGCGTTTCTTAGAGTGTAGTGATGCAACGAGGTACACTCTAAGAAATGCCTGCGGGTCTACTTACCCGTAAAACACTCAAAGAGTCAATCTCTGTGATCTACGAAGTCAGCTCATCGAATGATGAGGAGGAACATCCGTTGAGACCTGAGAATGAAGTCTGCGCTGTGTCATTACACAATGCAAAGCGTCGTGCTTGCATTGCGTAATGCCACAGCGCAGACTTAATTCTGAGATCTAAACAGATGTTCCGCCTCATAATTCGCTAAGCTGATTTAGTATATCGAAGAGATTGGCTCTTCGAGCGTTTTGCGGGTAAGCGGGCGCTCAGGAATTTCTTAGAGTGTACCCTCTAAAAGAAGCCCGCGCGCCTACTTTCCTCGCACAACACTCGGAGAGCCAGTCACCGCAACTTACGGAGACAGCTCAGCGAATGTCGATGCCGAAACATCTGTTTAGACCAAAAAACACACTCTGTGTTGTGAAATTAAGCAATGCAAAACGTCGCGCTTGCATTTCTTAATGTCACAACTCAGACTGTGTTTTTTGGTCTAAACTTATGCTTCGGTATCGTCATTCGCTGAGCTGCCGAAGTAAGTTCCGGTGATTGGCTCTCAGAGTATTGTGCGGGAATGTAGACGCACGGGTTTTTTTAGAGCGTAATTGTAACATTTACTGAAAAGCAGCACCGTTGAAAGTTAGGCGAGTTTGTTATATATAGTTATGAGGAGAAAAACAGCGCCAAAAGTAAGGAGGGGAAAGGAGGAAATCGTTCTTTGTCCTCCGTCCTTTTGGCGCTGTTTTTCTCTTCATAACTATGACTGAAAAGCACTTTAAAGCACTCCTCGCAATCATATAGACCTTTCCACAAGGGCGCCACCATCTTGAATCGTCGTCACTTGCAGTATAGGCGAAAACATTGTTTTGACGTCGCCACGCCAACAGAAGGCATTTAGGATAAAAGCGTAACCGTCTCACATTTTTGTTTTGCATCCCCTCTACTTTTTTACCACTTGCAGGTTGAAGCGTTTTAATATTTTTTCGTCGCCCATACCGTATGCGCTTATAGGTGGCTGGGGACGAGAGTACACGAAAAAGGTCTATAGCAATCCTGTTTTTGGCTCACAAGTAGTTTGGGATAACACAAAAATATTGCTTTTTAATTAGCGTTATTGCGTGCTTTACCTATTTTCGCATAAAGCTAAACACAGAACTATCACGCTCGACGTTGGACATCCGACACTTTTAACACTTCCCATCTTCCTAAGCCCCGGCGTCTTTCCTAACATCAAAAACCGGCATTTTAAAATTTGAAAACTAGACGAACATGCTTATTTACAATAACAATATTATCTCTTATAGTGAAGCACCCCTGACATTCATTTTTGCGCCCAATGCGTTGACTCGCACAGAAAGTAAGAACACAGCGTTACCGCCTTCATTTTAGCAATGTTCACGCTTGCAGGCTTGTCCTGATGAGGCCTCAAAACCGAAACTCGCGTATCGTAATTGCGTCTTCTACTACCCAACCTCCTTGTCACACCACTTCTACAAAAAGCCTCTGTAAAATTGCCAGTAAACAAGCAAGGACGACACGGATACAGTAATCTTCGAGATGATCACCTTATTTAGTAATAGCTGTGTCGATATGGATTAGAAAAGAAATCTAAAAACTTTTTTTTCGCCCGAAAAGAAATGAAATATTAACTTCTAAATTTGGCAACAATTATTTGTCAACCATTTCGTCGTTTACCCTGAGACTGTTTTTTTTTTTAGAAGAGCAGAAGTAACAGAAAAAACAGACAGGTCTCAAACTCAGCTACATGTTTATTTCAACAACCTCCTCTTATATAGTTCGTTCTCGTCGTCATCAACTAATCACATACGACTTGTCGTCGTCATCAACCAATCACATACGCTGCAAACAATTTTTACAGTTTTAAGTGTTTTTTTTTTTTAGTCATCCTGAAAGGCTTTTTTGGTCTGTATTGTATGTGGTGTGTATTGGAGGGTATTGTCTGTTTTTGGAGGTGACCTGTTTTGAGTGGGATGTTGTTGTGGGCTGTTGTCCTGTTTATTGTGAGGACACAAAAGAGTTGCTTGAAGTCTTTGTGAGGCATATCTTTCGCTAGAACCTTTTCACTTGGAAATGTTGGGAGTGTCCGCTTCTTTTGTGATAGAGTGGAACCTGTAAAGTCACGGTGCAGAGGACAAGTCGTATGTGATTGGTTGATGACGACGAGAACGAACTATATAAGAGGAGGTTCTTGAAATAAACTTGTAGCTGAGTTTGAGACCCGCCTGTTTTTTCTGTTACTTCTGCTCTTCTAAAAAAAAAACAGTCTTTTTAGACTGTTTTTTTTTTTTAGTGTTGTGTCTTTTTAGTGTTGTGTCGTTTACCCGCAGTCTCGGGGTTTTTCAACCATGTGCTCAGGGTAAACGACGAAATGGTTGACTTCCACCAGCTAGCCTGTACTTTGACTCTTTTCTCGTAAATATTTGTGCCAAATCTCGGCCGAAATTTTCGAACCTTCAAAAAAAAGTTCAACGAAACTTCCACTTTGCCGAGTCCCTAGATTCGGCTTCGAATTTTCGATTCGGCGAAAATTCGGCCCCCCATTACTACATACACTCCCATAAAGTAGATATCCCTTCATGTCGGTCTTTTGTTGAATGACAAGCGGCGTCAACATACGGACTGGTGCGGGCCTGAGACGATGACTATTGCTTTTTCCAAAATAGTATCTATAACACTAACAACGAAAGCAAAAAAAAAAAAATCTACATTTTATAAATTACATTTTAAACCAGTGAGGCATAGGTGGCCGAGTGTGCTAGCGCACCGGAGCTCGTGTTACGTGGAGCGAAAGCTCGGGGTGTAAGGATTCTGCAGGCTAAATGCGCACCCCTACTGATTTCTATCTGGTTGAGCATCGCACCATCGTGCGGTCGTGTATCAGTTTCGCCTGATGCACGATAAAGACCTCAGGCTACCAGTGCTATTCGGGAGTTTTAGTAGACCGTGTCTCCCCCTCTGCTAAGCCCTCCGCAACGAAGAAATCGCTACTGCGTCTGCGTGCCCATGGCTTTGGCTGTAAAGTTCCGGGTAGCGGACGGGCTTAGCGGGGGGGAAAACGGTCTACTAAAACTTCCTATTAACTAAATTTCTCGTCTATATACCGTGGAGTCACAGAGCGCCCATTAAGGCCGAATAACTTCTTGCTCTTTGAACGCACACACACAAACAACACTATAGAGCTTTTTCGACAAGTCTGTCAAGTAACACCGGTTGTCGCCCTTTCTTGGGAACTAAGCGTATTAGTGGGTCCGAGTTCTCACCGACCGCTGACGTCACGCTCGTGTGCAAACAAGCTAACAATACGTGCCCAAACAATGACGGATGCGGATAAATGGGGCATCAGCTAGTAGATAGCGCGTGATTTTTTTTTTTTCATAAAAGGTACGTTACTTTATTGCTAACCAGCGCATTCCGAATGGTTTCCTTAAGTTTTTGCGGGTTGGATGTTTGTCGCGCAGGACCACGCCCCGACGTTAGTGAACGGGCCGGCGGTGGAGTCGGCCCTGCAGAACGGATCGCCCAAGGTGATCGTGAACCGCGGCCGGTCGCCGTCTCCGCCGGCGCACGTGTGAAGCGACGCTCGGACTGAGAAAAGCCTCCCCGCCGCCCCGCCCAGCCACGCCAAGCAGCCCACCCGCCCTGCTTCCACGACAGCGGAGCAACCCCGGACTCTGTGGTGACTCCAAAAGGGTGACCCGTTTCACGAGGCAAAACGCCCGCCCGACGCCCGACCGCGCCGCTTCTTCTTTCTTCTTTCTTCCAACGCAACAGGATAACAAAACAAATACAACAACAGCAACAACATCGTGGACCGGCCGACGATTGTTGCCCAAACAACAGCATCGCCAACGAAGACGGGCTTGTTGGCACTCTGCGAAACCTGCAGCGGAGAACCGAACTATTCCATGTCCTCTCTCATCTCTCTGGTCTGCGGGGTTATTTGCCGAGTGTCGTTCATTTGTGAATCCCTTGGGAATGAGATATGCGAGATTTCGTTTCCAAGTTATCGTCGTTGTTAACAAGGTATGCGGTAAACTCTGAGTATTACGAGATATGTTCCTCCCTTTGGTTGTTTAGTCGTAGGTTTCTTTGTGAATGTGAGTATGAGTGTGTGCGTGTGTAAAGTGTCTCGTTACTTAACAAACATCGGAAGTATGGTGCTTTCTGGCGGTCGGTATCAGACGTTGGAAGCTTGTGATGTGGCTAACAAGGTCGTTCTTCACAAGCTGGTGTCATTCAAAGTACGAGAAAAACTGGTTAAACGACTCTGATTGGACAAAGAGCACTGTTTTCATTTAGTGCTTCATGCCTGGAGCAAAGCCGACCCTGAAATTATTCCCGCGTGCCTTTAGCCATTAGCGCTAGAGCTTGATCCCCGGAAAGTGAGATCTGGAAGGGTAATTTTGATTCGCCAAACGAGGTGTTGATGCGCAGGTAACACTTACGGTAGAGATGCGTAATTCAAATACTTCACAGCTGAACAATGCTAGGAGTAACACAGTTGTCCGGCTGTTCTACTTTGAGAAACATAACAATGTCAGTGAAAAAGTGATGAAAAATGAACCAAACCTTTCCAGGATGCGGTTCGTAAAACGTTCTAAACCAAGATATTTCCTGCTACTGTGAACATACCAAGTTGGAGAGAAGTGATTTCGAGTCATTTCTTATCAAAAGACCTTTACACTCCCTGAAGAGTGAAACGTATAAGAGACACTACAATTATAGTTATCAATTCTTGCAGATAGTTGCAATCGAATATCATTCCTTCTCGGTTCATAACTGGGTGAGTTCCAGAAATACGAGCTATGTCTCTGTGTGGCAACACAAGCAGTTTCCTGCTTTTGTTACCTGATGAAACTACATTGCGTATTGTGTGGGGTTGTTAACATTGTTCCCTAGAACTCTTCATTCTGTTTTCGGGTCTTAGGTCAACTTTGAAATACGTATTGCTGTTATAGTGTCACAAGGATCGGCGTCGCAGGTGTCTTGTTTACTGCTTTGTTCTCGCACTTGGTGTATTGTCGTGCTCCTGTTGAGGCTTATATGCGTGTGATATTCGATTCCTCTTTCTTTAAGGCAAAAGAAGGGGCATATCTTGCGTTCATTTTAGACATAACGCCTCGACTAACGCTTCGTTTCTTATCTTGTTAGGAGCAGAGTCTTTCAAATAGCATCATTTATTAATTGTTACAGTTGCTGACAGCTTAAAAAACGCAGTACGTGGCGAATTTTGAGGATCTAATTATCCCTCCACAGCTATTGAGATTGCGGCATTTTTCGATAAAAATGCCGAAGACCCAATACTGAAGCGAAACGAGACAACGTAATCAGCCGAACCCAGCGTGTCTTAAGCTGTCGCTGAGCATAGTTAAAGCAAAATGCGTAAACTAGTTGTGTTTAACAAATGCATTTGTGTTGCCATCAAATACGCGTGATAATTTTTTTTTATTTGTTCAAGTTGTGTGTGGTAATATCCTACATTACATTTTACCTCTCGGAGTAGAGGGATGGAGATTAAGTATACAGAAGTATGTATGTGTGTGTTCGACAGTTATATTAGACCAGTTTTTCCTTTTATCAGGAAACACTGTTAAAACCGCCATCAATGCTAGGCATCCCTGCGTTAAAAAAAAAACAAAAAAATAATAATGAATCGCAGCTTCACAAAGACTGTATCATCATAATTAAGGGCAATGCTCTGTCGCTTATATAGGTTAAGCTGGCCATCTTAAAAATTACATACATGTTACTACTACTCTTAGTTCAAGAATGTGCGGAGAGAATTGTAACAAAGTGATGGTGCTTAAAACTGTAATCGGCAGAATTGGCTAGCCTGATGGTTAGCCATTCTCGACTGGTGTATTAGCGTTCTTTTGAAAGTAGAACGTTTGTATGCCGCCAACAATTGTCGATACGACGAATGAGGACAGCTTACAGTGACATTCATCTGTTGTTTTATATATACAAAGAAAGACGGCTTCCTTATTTTCAGGTAATTTTATTCTTAGGCATTTAAAGCGGTCCTGCACGTTATAAAGCCATAACGGCGATTGCATCGCTTAATACTAGGGGCGCGCGCATTATGGTTCGAATCAAATAGTGCAGTGTTATTTCAAGCTTAAACACTGTAATAAAAACCGGCATGTTGAGTCTTTCCTTTGCTCTGCTAAAGCCACGAATGATGCAGCGCTATTCGATCCGAAACCGCCATTTCTTTACCTCGTCTCCAAAACTTCCGTTATAATAAATAAGAACACTCTAGCACCTTGCCGCCACTAGCATACATTTTCTCCGCAAAACGAACAATGACTTCTCAGAACGCATCGCTGGAAGCGTTCGGAAAAGACGACTTCTCAAAAACGCTTCCAATTGCCCGTTTCATTCACCCTGTCAGGTCAACATGCTGCGACCTGTGCTAACTCTCAGCCCTGTACGATCGTGTCTGCTGCCCCCTGACATCCAGTGCTCCGTGGTAAGCAGAGCTCGGGGATCATCGATCCCGAAGCGAGCTACGTCACTTCCGGAGAAAAGGCTCCCTTCATTCAACTCACGGAGACACGGCCGGGCTACTTCCTGTGTGCTGACGCGTGTCCTGAAATGGCAGGGACGTGGACACGACGTGGGGACCGCTGCATTTCGGGGGGCACGTGACCTAGTCGATACGCCGCCGTTAATGCGAATCACCGCTTCGAGGATGGTCGCATGGGCATGCGGCTCTCTCTCTGTCCGTAACTCGACAACAGGAAAGCGAAACACCTGTAAAAAAAAAAGAAAAAAGAAAAGCGCAAGATGAAGTAAAAAAAGAGTCGCGGTATAATATGGGCTTATTTTTTATTTATTTATTTATTTTTGAGGGGAGGGGGAAGGGGGATTATTGTTGAAGTCGTCGTCACGTCTGGCTGCTGCAACGGACACGAGATATGGTGCAGTTTGAGAGGGTTTCCACGAAACTGTAGAAAAGCACGCTCTATATAGCGTCTCTTACGTTTCTGAGAGAAAACAACAACAACAACAACAACAACTAAAACTAAATACAATAAATGTTTACAAGATGACGCGGTGGAGGTTATAAAAGCCCGAAAGGCTATCAGGGAGAGACGTGCTCGGAAAATAAACTATGATTTTAAGGAACGAGCTCGCAGAATCAAACTTGTTAAGCCTTTCAGAAAGCATACATATTCATTCGCGAGGTATACGTGACCTGAGGATAAGTTATTTCATTTTGAGATCACAGCAAAGGTTCTTCAAACATTGGGTCGGCTTTAATATGTTTACTCGATATTCAGTGAACTTTCAGACTGCTGAAGCACAGAAACGAGGCAACATCAATTGCGACGTTCTGCATCGCCGCTGACATTTTTTCCCACCTGTTAAGCTATTTTGGGGCAAAGGTACGTCATGCCAGGAACAAGTGTAGGCGAGCCCCCAGAAAGATTTCTTCATAGAAATATGGGTAACAATAATATAGGGGCGTCCCGTTTGTCTGGAATCTCCAAAAAACAGTTCAATATTTGAACGGAACCACTTAAAGCATCACTGCGAAAACCACAGATCATTAACCGAATTATAAAGCAGAAAGAACGGAAACCTCATGACAAGGAACTTGATTGAGACCGTTGAACAAGAATGTAAACTTTGTCCTTCTTTACATTTCCATCAAATGTGACGTATATCGATGCATCAAAAAAGCGATCATAGAACATATAATACTTCAGCAAAGCATCATTCTAGTTAAATTAAGCTATAAGTACCGCGAAATACAGAATCAGCGGTCTCACGCGAGCAAAGTCATATTCGTCTCAGTCCTATTTAAAGTCATCTGTCACAGCTGATTTTAAGCGTTTTTTTTTTAGAGCGCAGCTCTTAGGCGCCCGTTCCCGGCTTGAGCGGCGTCGCCGTCGCCGTCGGCGTCGGCGTAACCGCGAGTAACCCTCGTAACCCTCGTGAGGGTTACGAGGGTTACGAGGGTTACTCTCACGAGGGTTACCCTCACGAGGATTACGAGGGTTACTAACCCTCGTAACCCTCACGAGGGTTACGAGGGTTAGTTACGTTCAAAAGGGTTGCCCTCACGAGGGTCACGAGAGTTATGAGAGTTACCCTCACGAGGGTTATGAGAGTTACCCTCACGAGGGTCACGAGAGTTACCTTCACGAGGGTCACGAGAGTTATCCTCACGAGGGTTACTAGGGTTACCCTCACGAGAGTCACGATGGTTACCCAGGTCACGTGACCCCCCTCCCAAGGTCACGTGACCCCCCCCCCCGAGGTCACGTGACCCCCGTTGACGTCATCGCCACTGATGACGTCATCAGTGACGTCACGGATGACGTCACTGGCATCCGCATCGTCATGGTCATCATCACTGATGACGTCATTAGTGACCTCACCGGCATCCGCATCGTCATCGTCATCATCACTGATAACGTCACTGATGACGTCACTGATGACGTCATCAGCATTGTCACGTGACCCCCAAGGTCACGTGACCCCCCGCCACCCGAGGTCACTTGACCCACCCACCCCCAGTGCCCTTCCCTCCTCCTCCTCAAGAGCTGTGCTCTAATTCTGC